AGCGCTCTGATCAGACACGCTATCCTTATCATTGTACTGACACCACACCAACACTCACGCCGCTGAAGATAGAAATGAATCGTGAATGGTTAGGTTTAAAGGCATTGTTCACGAAAAAAAATGGTTTCGGAGATCTGCACATGGTTTGAATTCGACGCCCCCTCTGATACCATTTGTGCAGGAATGAGGTCGGGAAACGGTCGGGGTAGGGCACAATAAGGGCAGGAACAGTGGGGGACGGGAGGCCTCCGCCCCTCGCTAGGCTGACTACGAAATCTAATTGCCGTTCATCACTTTCGCATTGGGCGAAGTTGCCTGCTTGGGTGTGTTGTCTGCTATTGCAGACATTGCGTCGCCTTCCTGCACTCGGCCGAACACTCCCTTAACCGTCGNAAATCTAATTGCCGTTCATCACTTTCGCATTGGGCGAAGTTGTCTGCTTGGGTGTGTTGTCTGCTATTGCAGACATTGCGTCGCCTTCCTGCACTCGGCCGAACACTCCCTTAACCGTCGTTCTTCCAATGTGAAACTCGTCCAACCCCCCTTTCCAGCTCTTTTTTGTCCCTTTCTATTTCTTTTTGTTCATCGTTTTTTGCGCTTTTTTCGTTGTTATCGCTTTATTCTAGAGTAGTTCCACGAATTCCAGTCAAAAAAGGGTACCCTAAATTTATCGTAAACGGTGCCTTTAAGTGAAGGAACTTTGTAGATTTGATTTATCTTGAACCAACTGGACATATTAGAGTGTAACTGATGTATGGTTAGTAGCATATAATACTACTTGGCATAGTGATGGAAATATTGGGGTGGCGATAATTGCTGGGGTTGACAATCCTTAACGCCACCATTATTGCAATCATTCACTTGTCGAGTCCAACCACAAATTCGAATGGGACTGGCTGTCCCCGCCGTCTAAGCACAGTTCCTAGAAAATTCACCTACTACACACAAAAATCGGGTTTTACCTCAGAGAATGGAGTGAGATGTCTGACTAGTCCAAAAAGTCTCTTTCCTCTCGCATCCATGAGACGTTGGTGAATGAACTTCGAATATTTTGCGACTACCAGAATAGGAACCGCACTTTTTGACATCAAACGACGGAGCACTGGAAGAAAAGAAGACTTTAAACAACCAAACAATTTTATTTCAGGGTTCGCTCCTAATTCAGCTCGTAAAGGTTGCAGCCTATTTCTAGGCGTTGAAACCAACTTCGTAATTTACCCAGTCCATTCTGTATCTATTACTACCATTTTTGTAGTTTTCTCGTTCAACCTCGTAGATCCGAACTTATTTCTAAAACCAATTTTGCAAACATTGCAACCGATTCAGTAAACTTCGCAACGAATTTCGTGAGTCCGGTGATATGCAATGCCTTGTGGTATATTCTAAGTGGATCACTCATCGACTAATCAAGGTACTACAGATAGAGCTGTTTTTTGTAGTAAGCCCTGACGTTATTAGTGCCCGCCCTTCACGTTCCCATGATGGTTGCCTCGTTACGTGCGCCCAGCCAAACCAAGAGATTGCCGTCTTAGTCATCATTACGAAGAGTTCCTCTAATAAATGAGCGTTCTCCTATCTTACTTCAATGGTCCCTACGGAACGTCGTGGTGATTGAGGGTGTACGCGCTCAACGGTGTAGGGAAACATCACCGACTGTAGTCTCAAACACAACAACGCCGAACATAACCGAACAATACTATATCAGTTTTTGAAAAGTGATGCAAAACACGGACTACCCAGTCCCTCATGAATTCTTTTCGATCCTCTTCAGGTTTGTGATCACTATTTATACCGCAGCAGCTAGTCATAACAGGACCGCCAATGATCTGTACTCGATGATAAAATTGACAGTAGTGCTTTCAGCACATACCAGATGGCACATGTGATTGCAAGATTTACTAAATCGGTCGCGACGTTTACAAAATGGGAAACTGGAGTACGATTGAAATGATTGCAAGGTCTATGAAATAGAACAAGGAAACAGGAATTTGGCTGCAACATATTCGGAATAAAATGGGGAAGTACGAACCAGGTCGCAAGTTCTACGAAACTGCCTACAACGTTTACGAACCTGGATGCAAACACTGTGAATTTTCCGGTGATCTCGAAGTTTTCTTTAGTATTTGTTCAGTCTTAAGACGATTGACTGTTTGGCCACCGGATGAAGAGAATCAGCATGTATAAGGTGTGCAGTTTGTGGATTACATGCGTGTTTCATGCACTTTGAAAAATTTTCCCATCAGTGTTGAGTTTCTTGCAGGCATCTTACACATCTCTGGTGTCTTTCTGTCGAATGCTTTTTAAAGTTTAAAATGAAACAAAACCATACAACTGACATCCAGAGCCACTTTCCTTGGATGCAGGCGAGAAGAGAAAATAACAGCAAATAAGGCGCTCATTTAAACAATGTAAGATAAGGTTTAGAGAGCCTTCAATGAAGTGAATATACACTCTGCGAAAATGCCGACGATGGCGGGGAGTAAACCCGCAGCTACGCCTATGAAGCCAGACTATTACCACTAGGCCATTTAGACGCATGATATCCAAGCGACGAGTTCGCTTATCCAATTGATACTACTGACTAGCAAAGTTCGAGTCCCCATAACTTTTCAAAGAAAATCATTTTGCGGTTTTGATTTCCATTTTCGTAAACAGCAATCGAACCTCTATCGATTTATCTGGGTCTCCATTCAAAATCCCACGTAAGTATACTAACCCTCCCTGGTTAGTAGATAGTTCACGTGAATTCATCAGATTGTGTTCCTGCACAGCAATTTATTCGTTATCATATTTATCGCGCACCCTCTACACTAGGATACTTACATATAATTCGCCGCGTCCGGTGACGTGTAAGTTTTAGCACATACACATCCTCACATATAGTAGCGCTCAAAAGTATTCGGCCAAATGCTTTCACGCTTGTTCGTTCATAGCTTTTTCCATGTGAAGCATGGCGCGAAATTTTGATATGTTCAACCAAAGCATATTTCACACTATCTAACACTACATGACTGCTAAGCATCAATATCCGCATTACTAAGGGCAGTACTTGTTGCGGTAGTAGATTCCGATGAAGGCAAGGTTATTAGCATCTGCAATTATTCGCACCTTATGTGCGTTATTCTTCTCTACTGTGTTCGGCATTAGCACTCGGATACTTCAGACTTCGCAAAAAGGAAGGGTGTCCCAGAAAGAATATCACCTGTATTTCCATTTGATTTTGAGTTCAAGCTCTTAAGTATATCTAGAGCATGATTAGATTAAAGGTTAATAGTGGTGAACATTCACAATAACCCATGCCGTACATATTAAAATTTCCCATGATTAGATCCAACAGGAAAGAAGCTATGCCTGAAAACTACAACTGAAGAAGCATTTCGCCGAATACTTTTGAGCGCTACTGTATATGAATACTGTTTGTGTTCATAAATGAATATAGTATGTGAGGATGCGTATGTACTTGTCTGTATTTGTGTGATGAATTGGTCCAAGACTGCTCCGCCAGCTTAGCAAATTGCAAGCAAACCTATATCTGCAACCTAATAGCAACGATGAAGCGAAAATAATTAACCATTTTCGCCTAATCATTTTTTAATTTTGGCAACCTATGCCTGCATGCATGTATGTATGTATGTATGTATGTATGTATGTATGTATGTATGTATGTATGTATGTATGTATGTATGTATGTATGTATGTATGTATGTATGTACGTATGTATGTATGTATGTATGTATGTATGCATGTATGTATGTATGTATGTATGTATGTATGTACGTATGTATGTATGTATGTATGTATGTATGCATGTATGTATGTATGTATGTATGTATGTATGTACGTATGTATGTATGTATGTATGTATGTATGCATGTATGTATGTATGTATGTATGTATGTATGTACGTATGTATGTATGTATGTATGTATGTATGCATGTATGTATGTATGTATGTATGTATGTATGTACGTATGTATGTATGTATGTATGTATGTATGCATGTATGTATGTATGTATGTATGTATGTATGTACGTATGTATGTATGTATGTATGTATGTATGCATGTATGTATGTATGTATGTATGTATGTATGTACGTATGTATGTATGTATGTATGTATGTATGCATGTATGTATGTATGTATGTATGTATGTATGTACGTATGTATGTATGTATGTATGTATGTATG